ATTGTAAATATTAATTAATATTAACAAATAATCAAGAATAAAAAATTAACATTTATCTAAAGACAAAGTTTTTGAAAGCCTATATCAACCACTAGTGCAGAATAAAGATTATACAATATAATATTGGAAATCATAATTATAATACAGTTACACATCTCTATAATCACTGTTCTTGGAGAAGCAAATTTGAATGATTATAAAGAGCTTTTTTTAATTATAGTTACCTAGTAACAAGGAAATCAAATTGGATGTCTATAAAAAATTTGCCTTAGAAGAACTGAAAAATATTCTTAATATAAAGAAAGTTTTCAATAAGACAAGTTTAAAATGTAATATTAAATGCAATTTTTGTAATAAAATCCATTAAGACAAAAGCAGGTTTGAAAGTTACAATTTAGGTTTGATGATACAAATTCAATTTGTCATGTTGATGTAAAATGTAGGTATACGTACATTTTCACCTAACTAGAGATTAAACCCATCATAAAATCTAATCTCTGGCTCATCTACTGCCAGATTGTGACCGAGTTATTCGGATAATCTACATGATTCAGGTTTACACATTACAACATTAGACTAGTTTCATCATCCCAAGTTCAACAGAGTATGAGTTTGAAAACATGATTGCAATTTAATTTGGAATATCGTGGCAAGAGCAGTGCAACGACCACTTAAATGATAATTTCAATATCGTGAGCACAAATATTGTCTCGGGCCTTCGGTAGGATCAAACGAATATGCATGCATAATTTCGACAGATTCACCGAAAATTTTTCGGCAGATGCTCTGAGCAACATAGTAAATCTAAATTAATTTTGGTTAAAAAATGTTTGTAACAGGTTGCGTCATCTTTGATCAATGTATATAGTCATCATTGATATCATTTCTACGTTAACAGTCGCGGCCATCTCTCTTTTATATTCTTGTACCTTATTGTAAAATTACTACCAAGTATGTTTGTTAGATAAACGGCAGCGGCGTCTGTTAACTTTGTAATATGCATGTGTCACAACTTTACTCCTTCAAATGATGAAGACATCAAATTTCTAATTAAGTAAAAAGTAAAAATTTAATGTCATTTATTAAGTATTTATGACAAACATTGTATGAAAAACATTAGGCTTATAATCAAAATAAGGAACTACAGATTCCGATTTATAGTAAAAAAGAAAAATCTAAGAAACTCATGTATTTGTTGAGGCAAAAAATTTGTTTATTATCGTTATTTAGATCAGATAATTTTGCTATCAATCGGATCATCAAGTTACACGATCGAAAAAAATATAGAATCGCCGAAAATTTTTTTGCGTGATTTCCATAAACAAATAAAATTAGAAATGTGGTGGTGTGGCTTTCAATCCTTTTTTTATTTAGTAAATAAAAAATCATTGACAATAGTTAAATGTTTTAACAATATATAATTGTTGAATACTGTTCGATCCTCTTATGTATTATATATGTAATTGAACAGCAAAATTACATACCGTAAAACCGCGAAATAACAAGCATGGGCGTTATTTCCGAAATCACATCCTCTAAAAATACGTAGTCTCGAAATAACGCTTACCTTATCAGTGGATGTAATCGTTTATCATTACTCTATATAGAATATGTGATCGGACGAAAAATCTACTTTAATTTTATATGCTGCCGCACATGGGCGTACTCTAAATAACGCGCAGGTGTGCAGATTTACAGTATAGAAATATTTGAAATCACACAATTATTAATACGATCCGCATCATATTTTCAAGAACCTAAGCTCCCAAATTATTGCGATTTACTTTTTTTTCATAAACAGATCTCAACTTTGATTGTAGAGTCGTAAATGGTATCGTAAAACAAACAGGCTTTACTGTTGTACCTTCAAAAAATGTAAGATGACACCTTATATAGGTGCTTATAAACGTATCAGAAAAATCTATTAGTCACATTTTCAAAATTCCATTATCGTTATACGTGTCGAGTAAATCCATCACGTATATAATGTAATAAAGGATGATGTGTAATACTGTGATTATCATGACTATGAACATATACAAAAGACGAACTTAACATTTCTTCCGTTAAATTTATTAAATTCTGCATGTTGAAGAAGAGAGTGAATTAGATGATAGTCACCTCCCTAAATGCATCCCCTGGGCATCATGGGACTAATTTGATAAAAATGTGCATTCATAGAGGTGGATTTTATGTCTTTTAAGCTTGGGACTAACTAGGGTGTGCATTATGGAGGGTACATCTATGAATTTTATTTCCGTCGATTCTTTTGCATTCCTTCAATAGCATAAAAAATATTTCCTTTAATAGCTTCTTTTGTACGCATCAATGAATGTTATACCATCTTTTATGCCGAAGCAGCTCAAGTAATCTAGAATAATATAGAATTTAATTACTTTAGAATCCGTTTTTAATTTTTCAAATAGGAATTTCTTATAGTGAAATTCTATCAAAATTTACATTTTTATTTGTTTTATTTTTGAAAGGTGAGTTCAAAGCTATTTCCTCTTGATATGCATGACTTCATTAAGAATATCTATACATTTCAAAGGAGTTTTTACCATAAAAATTTTGATAAATCACGTAGATATCGGTACCATTACATCAAATTTAGTCATCACTGAATTCAAATTGGAAAGTGGATTCAATTCCGCTGCGTCAAGTTTATGTACAGACAATTAATTATGAATATCCGACACCATTTTCCAATTTTGACTAGGATAGTTCATTTATTAATTTGCCAAATATGCAAGTGTATATCGATATGTTGTCATTTTGCTTTGGGAGACATTCTTGTACGAGATGAGATACATGTACATATCGATGCGACCTTTTGAAATTAAATATTTTATATAATAGTATTAATTAGAAAATATTTTACTTGCAAATATAACAATATTTGCAGAAAAAATTTAAAAATCCGAAAAATATATTAAAATTCTAATGTATAAACGAATTACTCTTAATAAAGAAAATTCAATTTTTATTGTATTTTATTAATGAAACTGGTTCTTAATTCACGATTATATGATTATTTATATACTGTAATAGAAAAATATTAATATAATTAATTAGTTAATTTTGTAATAAGTATTATTTTAATTTATAATATATATAGTAAATTCACGTAATATGTAGTTACTATAGAACTGACACCCCCACCCCCCAGATGAGATTTTATTATATTTGATTGGTTAATTATTTTGATCATGTAGAAGGTGAGATTTTTGAGATCCTCCCTCCTCCTCCCCCCCCCCCCATAATTACGTGATATGTCCGTCCCTTATTAATATTATAAAAATTAATCATTTGTAAATATTTCTGATTGTAATTAAATATTAACAATTTAAATTATTTATAATTTTAAAAAAATAATTCATTTAATTAAAATTCAATATTTTTATATTATTTTATTATATTTTTTATAATTATTAAATCAAATGTAAAATTTATTTAATTTCAAATATTAATACTAAAATTTGCTAAACTCCTAATTTTAAGCTCAAATATTTTTTAAATTCAAAATTTAATTTAATTTTCTAATTATATTAAAAATCTAGCTTTATTTGATTTTGCTTGTTAGAATAGAAAATTATTCTGGCTTTGTTCTATTATTATTGTTGAACTTTTTTATATATTATAAAATTTGAAATTTATTATTTGCTTTGCAAGTTTAAATATCTTATATATAATATTTATTATTTATATAAACAGTATATTTACATAATAGTTAATTGATTAATAGCCTTCTCTTGTATTCACTCAGTAATTGAATTCTTTGATGTATTTAACAAGATATAATATTCAAAAATACGTATTCTGATCATTCCTGTACAATGATTTGTTTTTAATCTAACAGAAATACAATAAACACATGTGCATGTATTTCGTATATATTCATTTATATAACATCCATAAACGCTTTTCATCTTTATACGAACTCTATTTCTTTTCTCTCGCATAAAAAGTCAAAGAACCTCAGAACATTGTAAAAAATTGGATTTATGCAGGTAATTTATGATGTACAACATACTACAGAGAAATTTAGTTGGAGAAATCGAACGCGCTAATGTCATCCGCGTCTATTAATTAGTAAAAGAAGGAGGCATGATAAAGGTTGACTTTTAACAAACAATAAGCACATTATCGAAATTACGTACAGTGCAAGCAACTTAGTCCCAACCACTAACTTTAAATTATTACTATTATTTAGGAAATATAAAAGACACAAAAATCTTATCATAAAACAAAGTTACGTTCTTAGACAAAGTCAAAGTTGAATTATCAAATAAATATTTATTATTAACTAATTAAAAATAGTTTATTAACTACTAGTGAATGATTCATGTGTTATTTTAATTAAAATGTCTTAAAATGCCACTATGAGCTAACCCCCCTTGTGACATTAATTAATAACGTGATTATATAACATGATAGCGATAGGTGACCCCTAAAAAATTTGTTATCGTTATGCACTGTAGAAAAAATAGAAAGACATTTGTTTACATTTTTGTTCTTTATTAAAGATTTGAATAAATTTGATTGGTCGTTTTTTACGAACCATACAAAATTCAAATCACCCATAATCGGATAGACTTCAAATAGAAAATTTTTCCTTTCTGTGCTGTCGAAAAAATCCTCCGAAATAGAATTATCCATTCTAAGAGCTAGCTCGTTTTTTCCCGACAGAACTTCCATTTTTAATAATGTAAAATGTAGAATAAACAATATGTACTTTGCTCAGGATAAGTTTTTTATACTAAAACAAACAACCATTGTTAGTTAGTGCATCGGAAACTTTCGGAGCCGAGCAGTCTTCTATTTTGATTGTAATACGTAATACATGTAAAAATAAAAACAATATAAAAAGGGGTTTCTTGTTAAAAAAGTTTTCTTGTTTAAAAAACTATAAAGAGGGAAAATTTGCTTGTTTAAAAATCCGAAAAATAAACTTGAAAAATCACTAGCATATAAATTTTTCGTAGATAAGAGAAAAAACAATGCCAACAAAAATTCAGCATAACTCTTGTCCCGAATGTTATCAGGGTCTAAAAAATAATAGTCATTATTGCCAACATTGTCAAGCGCGTCATTTTGTGGAGAATGCAGATAACTGGACAACTGGTGATAAGACTATCGATGCATTTATTCTTCAGACGCAAAAAGATGCCAAAGAATGTACCGAGTATCTAGAGTATATAGATTTTGATGGAATGATTGGTATAGCGAAGTATGATATATCTGAGTTAGGTGAAGTGTTTATCGGAAATTGGAAGAGAGGTCCCGCTGATGTATGGGATGAAGATGCAGAAAAATTCGTATGTAAAAGAGAATTAATAAGGGTAGCATTGATTTCACTGACGACAGATCCACACGAGTTTCTTAAAGAGTTACAAGTTCATTATCGTGCAAGAAAGAATAATGGTATGATGATGAGACTGTTTGGAGTAACGCGTGAACAAATTACTGGGAGATTTATGATGGTGGCAGAAACAAACGAATGGGATTTACGGCATTACGTATCGCATCACTTTGTACGTTTAACTTGGAATCAAAAACTTGCCATCCTTCATACACTTGCATCAGGATTAATCAACCACCATCAACAAAACAACACGGATAGCAGCGACTACAATATCAGCAATAACGAATTCGGAAATAATAATGTTATAAAATCACATTTAGAATTACGTGTGAACGAACTTGGTCTCGGTGATTGTAAAGACTTGATGCCGATAATTGGTTATTATAGAAACGACTTACTTCCATTGTTTGCCCCAGAAATTTTATTATACGGAGCAACTCACACAAAGGAATCAGAAGTGTACACATTTGGTATGCTTATGTGGGAGTTTGTAGTAAATCGTCCGCCGTTCTACGACATACCGCGTGATTCGGAGTTTGTTAAACAACTCTCAACAGGATTGTTGAATCCAAAAATACCATCTTGCGCACCAATCTGTTACACCAAACTAATGCAACAATGTTGGGAACGGGATCCTAGACTGCGTCCCACAATGCAAAATATTGCACAAACACTGAGTAAATGGCGGTTCCAGAATTTCGAAAAAGAAGAGTTTGAAAAAGCAGAAAGACACCGAATTCGTGAGCTGCAAGCACGCGGTCAAAATCCCTTTGGTGCAATGTTGAATCCTACAAAAACACATCCGCAGGCAATATATGCATGCAGGCATATAAAATTACCAAGTTTTTCATCTACCGCATCAATAAATCGCCATCGACCGCTATTCGATAGTACGCCCGATTCGGGCCGAAAACCGGCCGAGGTTACGGTAAAAGACGAGAGTTTCTTTGTTTCAAAGTCCATTCTGCAATTTCGTGAAAAATTTCCTGAAGTTGAACTGGAACCCGAAGACGAAGATTTAAACAGACAATACAATGATCTATCATTGGAATTTCCTCCTCAAATTTCTGTAAACTAATTTTTAGTATTGTTCATAGCATGATGTAAATATCGAAATAATAGCATGAACAATAGTGATAACAATAATTTTAACCTTATTATTATCGTTATATATCTCAATAACAACACGAATAATATTGATAATACCCATTGTGTTGTAGCACCAACAAATCAGGTCATTGACTTTTTTTGCATATCATGTACATGTACATGACATAATACATGTACATGTATTATTTGAAAAATCACGGCAAAATCAGCATCCGCGCCGTTGACGATCCAACACTCTTTTAGCATGTTCTTCAGCACTCTTTCGGCATATCTTGAAGCACAATAGACCACGTAATTGCAGCCCTTTCCAAGAAAATCGATTGTATAATTTCAGTATGTCTTGTAGCATATTTTTTCCGCAATAGATCTCGTAATCGATTGCCCATTGTTCAGAACAAACAAAGTTCACATATACATGTAAATAACTTGTCTGTGGCAATGAAAATGTATTGTCAATTACGTTGAAAATTTGAAAGAAATCATAAAAATAAAAAATAAAAACGATTTTAAAGTTTTAAATTTAAAACGAATTAAAGATCCAAATAATCAGTGGAATTGATCGTTCAATAAATTCTTTGAAAAATAACCAACTTTGCTGTTGTTCTTAATTCTACACAAATTAAAAGATCAAAAATCCTAGAAGCGTAGATGAAGTAATAAAGAAAAAGAGGAATGAAATTAACTTACATTTTCATCTTTTCTTCCTCCTTCGCACACTTATTATGTCTGCTTTCATTTCATCTATGATTCATGAACTTGGCTTTACAACTACGTAGTCGTCGTTGAAGATCAAGTCTGGAATATTGGGACAGTAAAATAATAGGTTCAATTTGAAATCGGTAAGAATTTTTAGAATTAACATACAAAATCAATTGAAAACAGTTATGTAATTATAAATACTAATAGTAATTATTTGTTGATTCCTTACACAACAATATAGAAATTGTACAAGAAAAGAAAAGGCTTTGGAACCACTTTTTCAAAAGAGCAATTTTATAAAATATCAGAAAAGATGAACTCTGTAAATGAATTCATAATGAATATTTCAGGCCAAAATATCGAATATCGTAAATTATTTTGCTAAATTATTACTACCGATAAAGCAACAATCACGACAGCTGATATGTCCGACAAACCCAACATTTCGAAAATCAAATTTTCAATATCCTAAAAACCCAGCATTTAAACTCCTGAAATGCGAGGACTTACGATAAAGATTTCCAAGAGGTATGGCTCGACTTTTTACTTATAGCTAATCTTTTTCCGAAGATATTGGGTTTTCTTGATTTGAACATTGGGATGCTGGAAGTTTGGGATGGCATGTTGGATTCTCTTGAAGTTGGTGCATATATTTCGTGATTTTGCAGGAAGTTGCATGGAACACGTAAAAAATAAAAAAAATATTTCAATTCTCAAAATATCATAGTAAATAGTAAATGGTAAATTAAATCAAATTTAATTATTTAAGTTATATTTTTTTCTTTATTAAATATTATTTTATTAATATATAAATAAATTTATTATAACCAAGCCTAGTTATATCCAATAAATTCAAAAGAATCGAACATGGGAAACCAGGGCTAAATATATATTTTAACCTAAAATTGCTAAAAATCAAAAGACACGTGTAATCTTGATTAGCTAATCATTTTTAGCTCACCGACCCAAATTTTTTGTACCGAAAAAAATCAAATTCAGTTTTTGTTAAGCAAATCCAAGCTGAGTGACTAAGGAAAAAAACTACTCAGCACACAATTTTAGATATAATCTTGACAAACTCTTATATTTAACAACCATATAAACGTAAAGTCCATAAAATTATAAGTAATAATATATTTTTTATTACTAATTATGATGTGAAATACTCATATTTTAATCAAAAAAAAAAGAATTAATTATTAATTAAAAATTAGAAAGTGTTTATTCTATTATTTCGAATAATGAAAAATATTCTAAGGCTAATAACTTATATCTATATCAAATAGAAGAAAATAAGCTTTTTTAAATTATACTACTAGATATATATATGTATATATGCATATAAAAACATCGAATATTAAAAATTATCAATCTAAGAAAATATTAAAATGTTCTTATATAACATGTACAGTATCCTCAAAAAAGTATTGTCCAGTTTAAATTATATAGTAAACATGAAAATTTCAAGATGTCATCTTTTTTTAGTAAATATTTCTAAATTTTAAAGCATATGAATTACATTTCTGAAAAAATGATACAAGACTGATGACGCTTTATATATAAAAATTTTCTCCTACCTTTGCATAAAAATGGAAATTTCAACTTATATATTTCTTTAGTAAGTATTTCTAAATATTATACCATTTTAAAGTTATACAAATGTAATTTCAAAAAAAATTATTCATATTTGTGAATGGCTTAAAATGCAAGAACTATTTTAATAAAAATTTTTATATATGTTTTACACTTTGTGAAGAACTGTACGTATTGAATTTTGTATTATTAATCGAAATTCATTGTGTATTTGTTTCAATGAAAATTTCCATTTAGCTTCGCTCTTTTTTCTTGTATTGCCACACAACTGAGATGATAAAAC